CCAGTTATACAGTACCGTACTAACAGGTTATTAAGTGCCCTTTGTTGTTAAGCACCTGGTTCTTATTAGGCACCTAGTTCAATGTAGCTCTTAGCATGGGTTTGTTAAGCGCAGTACAAAACAGTAGGAGTCCAAGCAGTAGGAGTCCAGACAGTAGGAGTCCAGACACTTTTTAAAAAAATGCAAAATCCACAGAATTTTGGGCTATGAAAATTTTCCCACTATACAGTACCAGTAGTTTTGTTTGTCTGTACTCATACATCTGGGCGTGGCAAGGGGTAGAGCCTGTTAATGATAATAATAATAATAGTTTCATATTCTTGTAATAATTTCATTTATTTTTAGTTTTGTAAGTTTATGATGGAGTCTATTGTTGCTAAGGGTACACGAGTGGGAGAATTGAAGAGACAAATTATTGAAGAAGCAAAAGAACAAGGAATTGACTATACCCTTGAATTAGACAAGTAAGTGCATTGTGTGACTATCATGTGACTATCATGTGACTATCATGTGACTATCATGTGACTATCATGCGACTATCATGTGACTATCATGTGACTCATTGTGTAGAATGAGATTACGTGACAAGAATGGAATGTCCCCTGGTACAGTATATCCTGATCATGAGAGGATTTATGATGCCAGGACTGTTGCTACTAGGTTCCATCTTCCTAGGGGTAAACATATTGACGATGTTAATGAGGCTTGGATTGGTGGTACTACAACTACACGTAGGACTGATGATACTAATAGGGAAATACATGTATATGTGGAACCATTGAAAGGTCAGTTTAAAGTTAAAGAAATGATGTACCGTAAATGTTCAAATAAAAGCCCGGACGTTTATTTCTTTCCAGGACAAAAAATGGGGCGTATTCATTACTCTGATTTGAATAATTAGAAATTACGGTCAATGGGGCAGAAGCGCATTATTATGTGCAATGTCAATGGCGATGCAGTCCAAGATAGAGACCTTGTTACCGGTAGTTAGAGGAGCAGAGGAACTGATAGTCGCTGGGCTCAAACACTTACTTGAGTCCATAGGAAAGTCCATGTAAGGAAGAAAAGCTGATTTA